TCCGGGTACTGCCCTGGGGGACATGTATGGGGGTCCGGGTACTGCCCTGGGGGACATGTATGGGGGTCCGGGTACTGCCCTGGGGGACATGAATGGGGATCCGGGTACTGCCCTGGGGGACAGAAATCAATGACAAAAAAAAACATTTTTAAAGGAGCAGTAATTTTAACATGACTTAAAGGGTAAGAATAAAAATGAAAAATTCCTTTAAATGTGGTGCCTGGGGGTCCCCTTAACCTGCCTGTGAAGTGGGGGATCTGTACGATGTATAGAACCTGCTGCAGCAAAAATGACATTTCTAAAAAAAAAATACTTTTTTTTAAAAAACTCTTAAAGCATACAGCTCCCCCTCCCAAACAATACCGGACCCTTTAGGTGTGGTAGGAATGTTAGGGGGGGACCAATTTTTTTTTAAAGCGTAGGGTTCCCCCTAAAAGTCATACCAGGCCTTTAAGGAACCCCACCCCCAAAAATGGGAGGGGGGGGGGGAACGTGGGGTCCCCCTAAAATTCCATACCAGACCCTTGATCCGAGCATAGGCCTAGCAGGGCCGGAAAGGGTGGGGGTGGGGCAGAGTGAACAACACCCCCTCCCTCCCACACCAGGCCACATGCCCTTGGCAGTGGGAGGGTGCTTTTCCCGGGTCACCCATGGAGAAGCCCCTTGTCCCCGTGCCGATGGGGACAAGGGCCTCATCCCAACAACCCTGACCCGGTGGTTTTGGGGGTCTGCGGGCAGGGGGGCTTATTTGCATCGGGGTACCCCTTTAATTAAGGGGGCACCCAGATGCTGGCCTGCCTTGTGAATGAGTAAGCGGTACTTCTACCCCTACCCATTCACTAAAGGGTTAAATAAAAGTTAGTAAAAAGTCCAGACTGATAAAATGCTTTATTTGGAAAAAAAAACAAAAGACATGTTTTTGACAAGACGTAATCCAACATCAATCACGGCGTCCAGCGTTGTCCACGATGACGTCATCAAAAATAAAAAGAAATCATAATTTTAAAAAAACGCCGGCCGCCGTCCCATGGTCAGGTGCAAGACTTTAACCAATTAGAGAATCGGAGGGCGTTTTGCCTTATGGGACGTTGCGCGGTTGAACAGACCGCCAACATCAAGTTCGGCGAACGCTCAAACAGCCAATGTTTGATCCGAACCGGCGGACCATCCCTACTGGTGAGATCCCTGTGCCCATTATGAGGAGCTCCCACCATCCCTGTGCTGAGTTCCCGGGTCTGTACACCCGCTGTGCCCATTATGAGGAGCTCCCACCAGCCTGTGCTGAGTTCCCGGGTCTGTACAGCAGCTGTGCCCATTATGAGGAGCTCCCTCCATCCCTGTGCTGAGTTCCCGGGTCTGTACACCTGCTGTGCCCATTATGAGGGGCTCCCACCATCCCTGTGCTGAGTTCCCGGGTCTGTACACCTGCTGTGCCCATTATGAGGGGCTCCCCATCCCTGTGCTGAGTTCCCGGGTCTGTACACCCGCTGTGCCCATTATGAGGGGCTCCCACCATCCCCGTGCTGAGTTCCCGGGTCTGTACACCTTCTGGTTCCAGTATGAGGAGCTCCCACCATCCCTGTGCTGAGTTCCCGGGTCTGTACCCCCGCTGTGCCCATTATGAGGGGCTCCCACCATCCCCGTGCTGAGTTCCCGGGTCTGTACCCCCGCTGTGCCCATTATGAGGGGCTCCCACCATCCCCGTGCTGAGTTCCCGGGTCTGTACCCCCGCTGTGCCCATTATGAGGGGCTCCCACCATCCCCGTGCTGAGTTCCCGGGTCTGTACCCCCGCTGTGCCCATTATGAGGGGCTCCCACCATCCCCGTGCTGAGTTCCCGGGTCTGTACCCCCGCTGTGCCCATTATGAGGGGCTCCCACCATCCCCGTGCTGAGTTCCCGGGTCTGTACCCCCGCTGTGCCCATTATGAGGGGCTCCCACCATCCCCGTGCTGAGTTCCCGGGTCTGTACCCCCGCTGTGCCCATTATGAGGGGCTCCCACCATCCCCGTGCTGAGTTCCCGGGTCTGTACCCCCGCTGTGCCCATTATGAGGGGCTCCCACCATCCCCGTGCTGAGTTCCCGGGTCTGTACCCCCGCTGTGCCCATTATGAGGGGCTCCCACCATCCCCGTGCTGAGTTCCCGGGTCTGTACCCCCGCTGTGCCCATTATGAGGGGCTCCCACCATCCCCGTGCTGAGTTCCCGGGTCTGTACCCCCGCTGTGCCCATTATGAGGGGCTCCCACCATCCCCGTGCTGAGTTCCCGGGTCTGTACCCCCGCTGTGCCCATTATGAGGGGCTCCCACCATCCCCGTGCTGAGTTCCCGGGTCTGTACCCCCGCTGTGCCCATTATGAGGGGCTCCCACCATCCCCGTGCTGAGTTCCCGGGTCTGTACCCCCGCTGTGCCCATTATGAGGGGCTCCCACCATCCCCGTGCTGAGTTCCCGGGTCTGTACCCCCGCTGTGCCCATTATGAGGGGCTCCCACCATCCCCGTGCTGAGTTCCCGGGTCTGTACCCCCGCTGTGCCCATTATGAGGGGCTCCCACCATCCCCGTGCTGAGTTCCCGGGTCTGTACCCCCGCTGTGCCCATTATGAGGGGCTCCCACCATCCCCGTGCTGAGTTCCCGGGTCTGTACCCCCGCTGTGCCCATTATGAGGGGCTCCCACCATCCCCGTGCTGAGTTCCCGGGTCTGTACCCCCGCTGTGCCCATTATGAGGGGCTCCCACCATCCCCGTGCTGAGTTCCCGGGTCTGTACCCCCGCTGTGCCCATTATGAGGGGCTCCCACCATCCCCGTGCTGAGTTCCCGGGTCTGTACCCCCGCTGTGCCCATTATGAGGGGCTCCCACCATCCCCGTGCTGAGTTCCCGGGTCTGTACCCCCGCTGTGCCCATTATGAGGGGCTCCCACCATCCCCGTGCTGAGTTCCCGGGTCTGTACCCCCGCTGTGCCCATTATGAGGGGCTCCCACCATCCCCGTGCTGAGTTCCCGGGTCTGTACCCCCGCTGTGCCCATTATGAGGGGCTCCCACCATCCCCGTGCTGAGTTCCCGGGTCTGTACCCCCGCTGTGCCCATTATGAGGGGCTCCCACCATCCCCGTGCTGAGTTCCCGGGTCTGTACCCCCGCTGTGCCCATTATGAGGGGCTCCCACCATCCCCGTGCTGAGTTCCCGGGTCTGTACCCCCGCTGTGCCCATTATGAGGGGCTCCCACCATCCCCGTGCTGAGTTCCCGGGTCTGTACCCCCGCTGTGCCCATTATGAGGGGCTCCCACCATCCCCGTGCTGAGTTCCCGGGTCTGTACCCCCGCTGTGCCCATTATGAGGGGCTCCCACCATCCCCGTGCTGAGTTCCCGGGTCTGTACCCCCGCTGTGCCCATTATGAGGGGCTCCCACCATCCCCGTGCTGAGTTCCCGGGTCTGTACCCCCGCTGTGCCCATTATGAGGGGCTCCCACCATCCCCGTGCTGAGTTCCCGGGTCTGTACCCCCGCTGTGCCCATTATGAGGGGCTCCCACCATCCCCGTGCTGAGTTCCCGGGTCTGTACCCCCGCTGTGCCCATTATGAGGGGCTCCCACCATCCCCGTGCTGAGTTCCCGGGTCTGTACCCCCGCTGTGCCCATTATGAGGGGCTCCCACCATCCCCGTGCTGAGTTCCCGGGTCTGTACCCCCGCTGTGCCCATTATGAGGGGCTCCCACCATCCCCGTGCTGAGTTCCCGGGTCTGTACCCCCGCTGTGCCCATTATGAGGGGCTCCCACCATCCCCGTGCTGAGTTCCCGGGTCTGTACCCCCGCTGTGCCCATTATGAGGGGCTCTCACCATCCCTGTGCTGAGTTCCCGGATCTGTACACCTGCTGAGCCCATTATGTATTCAATATAGAAATACAGATCCGTTTTTTGGCCATAGATATATGTTGTTATCATTACAATACATTGACCCAGTTCCTGTCATTTATAGGGATTGACAGAGAAACGGTGACCCCAGTCGGCAAACACTGTCCATGACCATGTCCAGTCCTCTTGTCTCAAGCCTCTCCGGAGCGGTGCAGGACCTTACACGTCATCGCTTACCGCTGCTCTGCGCGGCAGGGTTGGGCGTGACCGCCATCGCCTATTTGTGGTGGAGGAAGAACCGTTGGCAGCTGCGTCAGGTAGGCACGGTGTCGCAGCTCCTCATATACCCCATTAAGTCATGCCGCCCCGTCTCCGTTGAAGAGGCTGAATGTCTAGAACTTGGCTTGAGGAACGGAGAGCTTGACGATCGGCACTGGCTGGTGGTGGCCGAAGACGGTCACATGGTGACGGGCAGGCAGGAGCCACAAATCGTCCTGATCGACGTGAACAGGCATGGCGGCTCTCTTTGTCTTGAGGCTCCGGGAATGGAGAAGATATCTGTGTCCTTTTCTCTGCCGAAGACCAACAAGGTGTTGGACTGTCGGGTCTTCGGAACGGACATCCAAGGCCGTGACTGCGGAGACGAGGTGTCTCGGTGGCTGACCTCCTATTTTCAGAGCAGCCAGCCGTACCGCTTGGTGCACTTTGAGCCTGGGGTGATGAAACCACGCAAATCCAAGGATCAGGAAAAATTGTTCCGGGACAAAGACGTCATTGCCTATCCCGATGCCAGCCCCGTCATGCTCCTTTCCGAAACGTCCCTGGAGGAGCTCAACAAGCGCTTGGAGAAGCCGGTCACTCTGGGAAATTTCCGGCCCTGCATCGTGGTGTCTGGATGTGAGGCCTTTGCTGAAGATGGCTGGGATGACGTGGAAGTGGGCACCACCAAGCTAAAGAGGGTCATGGCCTGTGGCCGTTGTCTGCTGACCACAGTGGATCCCGATACTGGAATCATGAGCCGGAAGGAGCCCCTGGAAACGCTGAGGACCTTCCGACAGAGCGATCCTTCTCTGAGCCACCTCTACAAGACCGCTCCACTTTTTGGCCAATACTACGGAGTGGAGCAAACCGGAAAATTGAGAGTGGGAGATCCAATCTATATCAAGGTCCGCAAGGATTAAGGTTCGTTCCCTATGCTCAGAAATGCGTGTCCAGCTAAATCAACCGAAGTCCAATAAAGTTATGGAGGAAAACTGACGTACAAATTCTGTTCTGTTCAAAATCAAATTTGGCAAAAATTGTTTATTGTAGGTGATCTGCCGTTGCCTTGAAAAAAATTTGATTAAAATATACACTATATACAGGGCCGGATTTACTCCCCCTGCCGGCCCAAGGCCAGGTTCCACAATACGCCCGCACCGCCAAGCCCCTCGCAGAGGGCAGCAGCGGTGACCTTGTGGGAAGTTGCGGGCTCCGGTGTAAGGTGTCCGCCGGCCGCAAACTACGTAGCTGGTGGGCGGTGCCTCGGGCCGCCCCGTCGTGATTGGACGCCGGCGGACCGTAGTGTGCGGCCGCCGGACACCTTACACTGGCGCCCGCAACTTCCCCACAAGGTCACCGCTGCCACCCCTCTGCACTCTGCCGACCGGAGGCCGGGCCTCGGTGGCCTTGTGGGAAATCCGGGCCTGACTATATAGCCAAAAGTACATGGACACCTCTTCAAATGATTAGGGCCAGTGAAGGGCATTGTTAATGCTACAACATACAAAGACATTGTAGACAATTGTGCTCCTCCAACCTTGTGGTAACATTTTGGTGAAGGTCCTTCTCTGTTCCAGTATGACTGTGCCCTGTGTGCAAAGTCAGCTCCATAAAGACATTGTTTGGTGTGGAGGATCTCAAGAGTCCTCCACAGAGTCATGACCTCAACCCCTGGGATGAATTGGAACTCGGATTGTGAGCGGGGTCTTCTCATCCAACATCCGTACCTGACCTCACAAATTCTCACACTTCTCAATCTTGTGGAAAGCCTTCCCAGAAGAGTGGTCGCTGTTGTAGCCACAAAGGGGAGCCAACTCCTTATTAATGGCCATGGAGTGGGATGTCCAACAAGCTCCTGTACGTAGGATGGTCTGGTGTTGATAAACTTCTGGCTATATAGTGTATCTTCTAAAGCTGTCCTACAGCACAAGGTTGACTCTGAATAGTGGCTATTGCACAATATAGATCTAGAAATATGGCTCACTGTAAAGCAGTGACGTGCGGTACCTTCGCTTCTTGGTGAGGCAGTCACAGCCCCGCCTCCAGCACATCAAAGCCCCACCCATATCCTGGTGAAGCCCCGGCTAGTGTGAGGGAGGAGACGGGGGAGCCTCCCTGTCCCTCACTTGCTCGTCACTGCTGAGGCATTGAGATCGATGGCCTCAGTGGTTTGTTTGTTTTTTCTATTTTAGATTGGACAGCTTGGACCAATGGCGCTTTGCCATTGGTCCAAATCATCCACAGAGCTCACGCCTCTAACACAGAGTAGAGGCTGTGACAGCTCTGGCCAAACTATGTTAGGTTACACAAGCAGTGGGGAAGCCCGCTGCTGTGTAACCTAACTTAGCTGTCAAAAGCCGGATGCCTCCCCTGACCGCAAAGTATGACTTGTGTGGAAGTTTCATCCCCTTCTCTGCACAGTAAAGGAAACCATTGTGCTGAGTAGTAGGAAAATTGCCAGAACGCACCTTCGACACCCTCCCCCCAACACTGCCCCCCCAGTATAAGCCAATTATTGCTGTGATGGGAACCATTAGATGACCCAACTGTGGTGAAGTGATGGTCCAACCTGAGCCAATGTCTTCCTTTATTGGGCCAAGTCTACCCAAGGCTCGCTGAGGAAGACTTGGAAGGATTTCCTCAGGACTTTCCTCATGCTCCTTCCATGTTCTCTGTCTGGCCTCCTGTGATAAATACATTTGCAGGTTTGTACCTTTGGGAGATCCTCCCCTCTGAATCCCGGTCAGTTGATTGGCTGCTTCGCTCATGTTTTCAGAATTAAATTCTCATCTCAAATGATAAATCAAAAAGATCCTTCAAATGTCTCGTGCACTTGGGTGTTGTTTATTTATCGACACTGTTCACCGGCCATTTTGAAGTCCTCCCTATGAGAGGACGCCATGAGATTCCCGCTGTTAAAGAGACCCTGTCACCAACTTTAACAATTTCAGGTACATTTTGATATATAATTATATATTTTTGTGTATTATATACGGTATATTTCCATAAACAATGTCCACTCGCACGGCGGCTCTATACATGCCAGCAACTCTGTCTTCGATTCCCTAGCACAGCCCCCTCCCTCCTTGCAGGTTATAGCCCTCTTCTCTGCTGGGAGTGTCTGACTGGGCTGGGACAGCTCCTTTGCCCATTCCCGCACTTCCGTACATCCTCAGATTTACTAAGAATTACGGGCCTACAATATAAAACAACAATGTACCGCGTTGGCGTGCAAAAATTCCTGCAAAAGAACAGTCTGGGGCTTTAAGAATGAAGATTCTGCAGAGGATACAGCAGTGTAAAGTTGGCCAGTAGCATCGCATTTTAATTGGTGACAATAGGCCAATATGTACTAAAGACGCAGAGTACAGGCCGGTGTTTTACTACAAAGATTTAAGAGACTGCAGATGATACAGAAGTGTAAGATTGGGCAGCAACAATAACATTTTTGTTAGGGATGCACAGATACCAGTTTTTCGGTATCAAGTACCGATACAGTAATACCTTGGTTTACAAGTAACTTGGTTTGAGAGCGTGTTGCAAGACAAGCAAACATTTCTGAAAAATGTTGCCTTGATATACAAGCAAATGTCTTGGAATAAGAGCAAAATTTTGTAGAAAAGCGCCACCGAATAAGGCTTGTAGCAGTGCGAGCGATGAGTCTGTTTAACAACAATGCAATGTCACATTGAATAGATTCCTTGTTAAGGTTTCACGAAATGAAAAAGATTCCATTGAGTCAAGAGATAGCAGTGATTCCGTTAGTGACAGTGAAAGTCGTCCTACACAATAATCCTCCTCTCTCTTGTCCCCCTCACACCAGCCACGAAGGTAACGGTAATTGGTTTATTTTTCTTTATATTTTATACAGTATTATATTACAGTACAGTATTGTAATCATTGTTATATAAATATTTTTGTGTTGTGGAACGAATCATCTGAATTTCCATTATATCCTATGGGGAAATTCGCTTTGATATACAAGCGCTTTGGATTACAAGCATGCTTCCGGAACGAATTATGCTCGTAAACCAAGGTATTACTGTATTTATATTTCGGTACTCTCCGATACCGAGTACCGGTACTTCCGGTAGCATGGAGCCGGCTCCCCGGGAAATCAGGAAGCTAGGCAGCGTGTCATTACCCACCGCCCGGCTTCTTGATTGTCCGGGAAGCCGACTCCATTCTGTTTGGTTGGCTTGATGCTGATTGGCCGGGAAGCCAGCTTCCCTGCCAATCGACATAGAGGCCGGCCAAACAGATCTGACAATATGGTGACACGACCCCCACCCTGAAGGCACCTCATTCCCCTCACATAGCATTCATTACCATACCAGTCCCTCCCCCAAGCTCTCCCAAATCTGCCCATGTCTCGTTTGTACAGCGCCCATGTGATCGGCCCTCAGTCTGCTACTGCGCATGTGCAGACTGCCCAGCGCTCTCATTCAGAAATCCTGTGCATGCGCAGTAGCAGGCTGAGAGCCGATCACGTGGGCGCCGTACACGCAGGAGACGGCAGATCCGGGAGAGCTCGGAGAGCGTTGTCTGCCCAGCTGGCCGAGGGACTGGTACGGTAATGACTTCTGCTGAGGATCTATGTGAGGGGAATAGTTTTCTGCAGGGTGGGAGTCGTGTCGCCATATCAGATTGTTTGCCCGGCGTTTCTCCCCCTTTATTTCAAAAAGCTGCGACACCCCCAGTCTACAATGTAAAAAAACATTGTGTGGCCCCTTCAAAACCCACACCAAACCCTTATCCTAGATAGGAACTTGCCTCTAAAAAGCCGCACTCAAAAGAGAACTATGAGGTTAGTGTTTTTCCCCATAGTTCTCCTTAGGGTAACGGGAGGACAAACTAGCGTCTTCCCGTCACCCAAAGCTCAGTATATAGGGAGCTACAGCTCGCGGTATACTGAGACGCCGCAGCCAGAGCAGATCCCGACATTACTGTCAAGATCCGGCCAGCTGTGAGTGACAGCTGGCTCTGCCTACCTAGAGGCAGATCCAGCTGTGCCCGCCCCCATCCGTTAGCGCTGGAGGATCAGAGAGAGGAGGGGGTGGGGGAGAATCCCTGCAGGGAGCTGTGAGTGACAGTCACGGCTCTCTGCAGGGATAGATCGAGAAGTGAGCGAGCGACGGTATGTGTTCCCTCACTTCCCGATCCGACATGCAACAGTCTCATTGTCACAGGTCGGCTAGAACTATGAGGTTGAGTGATTTTCACTCGCCTCATAGTTCTCCTTTAACTTTTTGTTCTGGAAGCTTCTTAATGATGGGTCTTTCCTTTGGGTCTAGCCTGGATCCTAGCCGGTATATCAATCTTGTCAGCAGCAGTGTGAAAGAGTAACATGAGAATCGTCCTTTAACGCCCGCTCTTCATGGTAGAAGAAGCCATTTTATCCCCCTTACAAAACACTAAATATATATTTTTTTTAAATATATAGCTAGTGCAAGTGCCTAAATCAGTCTTTATATGACCTGCCTGCAATCCCTTGTACAGCAGATCTCATACTAGGAGAGGGTTAGCCAGCCAGGTTGTACTGCACAATGCTGTGTTTTCGAACATGTTCCTAAGATAAAAGTCGTGCGACCGTACAGTAGTAGAGGTCGCATGGCTCCCACATACCTTACCATAATCGTACGATCGCGGGATTTCCCACGATTATCGCAAGGTGTGTGGGCACTTTAACACTAGCAGCTTGCCGGCATGAGGATAGAGCCGAGTAGAGAAATATCTTCTTTAACCCCTTCATGACTGAGCTAGTTTTCAAGTTCTGTTCATAAATGACTGACACATTTTTTACATTTTTGCTGTGTGATTCTTCCACAGCAGTAATATACTTTCTTACTAAATGTACCCACACATATTATATATTGTTTTTTAGAGGACAGATAGGGCTATATAATTATATCACATATGTGTACCTAACCCCTCACTTAGTTTGAATAAAATAAAAAAAATGAGGAAAAAAACTAGAAGAAAACACTTTTTTCACAAGTTTTGATTATTATTTTTTTTTTAGAATTTTTTTATATTAATTATAGTATAAAAAATATATTTATATATAATTTATATTTTCCTAATTTTGTTTTACACTTTATTTTAATTTTTTTACACTTTGTAAAAAAAATAAAAATAAAATAAAAAAACTTTTTTTTTTCTTGTCAGTTTATATCAAGCAATCACTATGACAGCTTGATAAATTAACTTTTTTTTTTTATTTTTGGCTATTAGGCTGATCCAAACTTAGGAACAGCTAATAATAACCTTAGAGACTGATCCTGACTTTAGTCAGATTCAGATCTCACTAAAAGCTCTTTGATCGTGCCTAGACGATCAGAAATGATACATTTCACTCAACAGAGATACATTGTATCTTGTGAGTGAAATGTATCTAAACATCGGGCTCTCGAACTGTCAAAACAAATAGCAGAGAGGTGAGGTGAGTCACTGCTGCCTCTCTGCTATTTTGAGCTGTCAAATACGGGATCGCAAATTGCGGTCCTCTATTTGCATGTAACGGCTTCATTCTTTCATTACTGAAAGGAAGAAGCTTTTACAAAAAGCTTAATTATTTCATTAATTAATGCCTCAATACTGAGACATTAATGAATGACTGTTAAATGCTGAGAATCAGCAAATACCGGCATTACAAAGCCTGATATAACTCGTCACGTACAGTGTACGTGGCCAGTCATATAGGCACAAAGTGACAAGACGTACACTGTACGTCTCCCGTCACGAAGGGGTTAAGCTGCCCATACACCTTGCAACCATCGCGCGACTTTCGTCGTGCGATGGTTGTAAGGTCATTAAAATTCCGTACGAACTGCCCATCTTGGACAGGCAGATCGTACTTGCGATGATCACAAGCCCGCACCGCTGAGGGGCGGGCTTGCCGATGATTGCAATGCTGAGCGGGCAGTGTGCGCTTTCGTCTTGCGATCTCGCGCTACCAACCCGCCGAAAAGCGTACGATTTTCGGCGGGTTTTTCAGCGTGCTCGTAAGAGAAAAGTCGTGCAACCGTACAGTAGATGTAGCTACTGCTGCCCATACACCTGCTGATTATCGTACGATCGCAGGATCACCCGCGATTATCGTACGATAATCGTCAGGTGTATGGGCACCTTTAGTGTGCTTCTGTTCAATGTCTAATCAGCAGAATGTGGGCGGGGTCTGTGACCACGCTATATTAACACCAGCTGAGAAATGTGAGGTCACCAACCTGGCTGTGCCGTCTGGATCACGAGACTGGCTGAACAGAACTTAAGATTCTATCGGCAGGCAATTGCAGGGGTGTAATATTGCCTAGAGAAGCTCTCATCCCCAGTATTGTTTTATACGCGTGCGGAAGACAATGTAATGAAGGTGAAACAAGCAAGATCCCATGAAGATCCCTCCCACCTTTAATAGTGATGACATACGTGATATTCCTCTCATATGAGGATCTTTATACAATGTTTTATATGCTAATAATTAGGAGTCGTGCTGAAGGTCTCACTTCCGTCAGGCCCGCGACATGGTCTACAGAGAGCCGGACGCAGCATCACTACTTGTCCTCGCAGACCACCTCATAGTCCTTGTAATGGCGTTTCAGCTTTTCCGCAGCGACGGCGTGATCTGCTCGGCCGTATCCCTACGAAGGATCAGGAAACGGAAATTACAATTTGGTGAATAAAGAGAGAAAAATTAAACTTCATTCTGGTGAATTCACTGCTGGCAAAATAGTGTTGTCACGGTAATTTTCCTTTCCTGACACCAATACATGGCAGCATACAATTGGGGGGGCGGAGCCATGCCCATTGTATGCTGCCATGGATCGGCGTCAGGAAAGGACAGGCAGGACCACCAGGTATTTATCATCTGAATGACTGAACTTTGAAAAAAATGAAAACTAGCAATCCTATTTATTAGCAGCGCAGCTTCCGGAGGCTGAGTTTTCATTGTTGCCTATAGATCGACTTTCAAATAAAGGTTTGCTATTTAATAGTTATGTGACCTCTGAACTTTGACCCCCCAAGACAAAAATGTTTTTAAAAAACCCTCAAGAATTTCAAGCTAAATAAAAGGGGACGACTAGACTAGAAGGCCTTGTTCACACCAAGCGCGTTCCAGGAGCAGAGCGGTTACAGACCGGATCAAAACTGCGTCCAATGTATTCCAATGGTATTTTGGGCCTCTAGTTCACACCGCAGCGTTCAGTTCCAGAGCATGTAAAAAAACTGCAGCAAGCCCTATTTTACCAGCTCTGGAACGCATGCAAATGCCCTGGAACGCACTGAAAGCCCATTTTAAACGAAAAAAGTTTTGTTTTTTTAAAACAAAAACGGCCCTGAATGCGGCAAAAACGGCGGCATAACCCCCTGCACTGCGTGTGCAGAAACTCATGCAGATCTGCTCTGCATTTGGTGTGAACAAGGCCTAAATGTTGAAAGTAAGTTTGTGCAGCTGTAACAATGAATATTCCCCTTATAACAGGATCCTTCCCCTACAACCTGGAAGGATCACCAGGTGAAAATAGCAAAGAAAACTAATGCAGCCGCCACACCTGAGGACCGGTGAGCTGCATCCTGACTTGGTTTGCAGTGCACCATGTAACACAGACACATCTTCATTCCAAGGGTCCGGTGCCTTTGTTTTACGCATGTGTGCACATTGAGGTGCCATTAGAAAATGGAATGGCTACCCCCACATGACAGGAATTGTACATTGCTGCAGCATGCGCAGTGTGAATACGGCCTCACGCATACGTACTGTAGATTCCCCGTACACCCGGATCTTCTTCTCTGCACTGTTGTGCTCGATCTTCCCCCCTCCGAGGCATTTACATTGCAGGCCCAGCGCTTGGATTTCAGGGTTCACTTTGTCAAAGATGTGATCTGTGGAAAAGGCAGAAAAGAGAATATGGTGGCATTCTGACACACACATACATTTAGCAGATACCAGTAGTGATGTTGAGTGAACTGGTCCGGGTTCAGTTGACTGGTACATTCGGTGAGCCCAGCCAGAAATCCGGGTTGAGCTAACCAACCTCAGGATCACCACGGTGTCATCAGTTGCTAGGACACTAGCAGCTGGGTGTCATTGATTGCAACGATGCTGGGGATCATTGGTTGCTAGGATGCTGGGGATCATTGGTTGCTAGGATGCTAGCAGCTGGGTGTCATTGGTTGCTAGGATGCTAGCAGCTGGGCGTCATTGGTTGCTAGGATGCTAGCAGCTGGGCGTCATTGGTTGCTAGGATGCTAGCAGCTGGGCGTCATTGGTTGCTAGGATGCTGGGTGTCATTGGTTGCTAGGATGCTAGCAGCTGGGTGTCATTGGTTGCTAGGATGCTGGGTGTCATTGGTTGCTTGGATGCTAGCAGCTGGGTGTCATTGGTTGATAGGATGCTAGCAGCTGGGTGTCATTGGTTGATAGGATGCTGGGTGTCATTGGTTGCTTGGATGCTAGCAGCTGGGTGTCATTGGTTGCTAGGATGCTGGGTGTCATTGGTTGCTTGGATGCTAGCAGCTGGGTGTCATTGGTTGATAGGATGCTAGCAGCTGGGTGTCATTGGTTGCTAGGATGCTAGCAGCTGGGCGTCATTGGTTGCTAGGATGTTGGGCATCATTGGTTGCTAGGATGCTAGCAGCTGGGGGTTATTGGTTGCTAAGATGCTAGCAGCTGTATGTCAGCGGTTGCTAGAATGCTGGCCATCATTGGTTGCTAGGATGCTAGCAGCTGGGTGTCATTGGTTTAGGGCTGCAGCTAACGATTATTTTCATAATCGATTAGTTAGCCGATTATTAAGTTCGATTAATCGACTAATCGGATAAAAAAAAAAAAAAGGGTTCAGTGATGGACTACTAGTTTCTATTGAGATTGTAGTCCATCACGGGAGCAAGCTTGGCGCGGTGGAAGTAAAAAAAAGAGTGTGGTGTGCAATATAGTACATTATACAGCGGCGCAGTGCAGAATACCAGCAGCTATAGAGGAATGTAGCAATAGTACATTATACTATAATGTACTATTGCTGGGATTTGTAGTCCTCTGTAGCTGGGGTTATTCTGCATTGCACTGTATATAATGTATTATTGCTGGGATTTGTAGTCCTCTATAGCTGGTGGCATTCTGCAGTGCGCTGTATAATGATTATACGGCGAAATGCAGAATACCAGCAGCTATATAGGAAT